TGGCTGTAATATCTGGCTGGAGATCTTTGGCTATTTGGCCGCGGGTCAATATCCCATACCCCGAGTGAACATCCCAATCCCCACTAAAATAGGTTCTAAAATGGGTGGTGCACCTACCCCAAAATGGTACCATTGGCTTTGACAACCACAGCCATTTGGATGCTTGCCCTGTTTTTGGGGCAGGGCAACGAGCTCGAGACGTTTTTCCAAGACTCAAGGCTCCGCTTGACCGCCGAGGCCTTCCTGGCCTGGACAACGGGCAGCTGGCCTTTGGCACGGCTGCGCTGGCAGGGGCCCCCGGGCCCCCAGCCCTCGAAAAGAGCTTGGAGCTTGGCGTTGGGTACAGCCCCCCACCCTTAGAACAGTTTCTGAAAATGAACAGGTTGTTGACCTGTTTAGTCCATGTCATGGAGCCCAGCGGCTCCCAGAAAAATCGCGGAATTTTCGAGGCTCCATGTTGGATGGGTCTGATTGGCTCCAGATGCGGTCCGACAGGTCCACGTGCTGGAAAAGCGCGCGGGGGAAAGCAGCTGGAAGCTTAGCTGCCGGCCGCCGCGAGAGATGGCGGCCGATGTTTCCCCTTCTGGCTTTAGACTTTGGGGTCACGGGAGTTTGCTCTGGGATGTTCAAAAGAGAAGTACTGGGTATGCGGACCCCGGATCGAAGCAGAACCCGGATCAATAGGTGTTCCCAGACAAAAGCAGATGAAGGATGCGCGCTAGGGGGACCCCATCGTCCTGGGTTGATATTATGTTTCTCTCTCTGAACTCTTATAAGCAGTGATGCTACTCAATCATATGAGTTTTTTGTTTTTGCAAAGTTGCCCTTGAGGCCCTGCTTGGAGTTAAAACGTCCGTTTTGGGAGATGTTTTCTGTTTTGCGGCACACCATCTCAGATATCGCATTTAGCTCCGTTTTGGACTGGACACAGGAGTAAGCTTCCCCAGAAGTATCCTTCGTAGTTTTCTGATAGGGATTCTTCTTTCTGGAACGGCAAAAACGAATCCCGGACAAGAACAGAAATCAGCTGGTTTGTGAAGAGGTGTTGATGGCGGTATGCAAATGATGGTGTTGACACTCATCCGGACCAGAAAAAAGTCAAAAGGCAGAGGCATGTTTGCCAATGTCTAGTCCTTTCGAAAGGCTCCTAACGGGGTAGGAGATCACGAGGTTGCCCCCCCCCTCAAAAAAGAATCCTTTAAAGGCCTGAAACAGCCACTAGACTGGGATGCTTCAAGGCGATGCGAACGAGACTAGTTGTTGGCATTTCGCTTTCTTTGCACACGGTGAGGCATGTCGGCTTAGTCTTCTCAGTGACCTCTTCTCCTTGAGGTTGTTTGTATTGCTTCACAAAGTGTGGTGGGTGCCCACTCGGGTTATTGGGAAAAAATGGACATCAAGTTGGCCAGGCCTTCCATTTTGAAGAGCCCTATTGAAGTGTTGAACCATGTTGCACCCATTTATGAAACCCTCGTCGAGGGCTGTTGACTTCTGGTCTCGCTCGGCTTCCATGGTCTGTCTACATCGACTCAGTTGAGTAATAGATAGTCATACCAAGTACAGGTGCTGGGATCGTTGAACGGTTTTGGGTTGCCAGGCGTGCCAAGTGTCCTCAAAGCTCAAGTGCTTCAAAAAGCGCCCCGACGATTTGCAGATCCAGATGCCTTTCGCTGGTACTTGGTGCCCTTGGCTCATATCATCCTAAGGGTTCCTTGGTACCTTGGGAGGACCCTTAGGTACATCCGTAGGTAAGGCACCCTTGAGGTCGACGTTGCTTGTTCTAGTGGCGCGGAACAGCACGAGACACACTCAGTACTGTAAGTGGTTGGCAACCATGGTTAAACCCCACTTAGGGGGCTTACATCCCTGGTAAGCAGACTATAGCCATGGATGCCAACTAGGTCCCCCAGTAGTACCCTTTCTCACCCCTTTTTTGGTTGGGAGAAAATCCCCATACTAAAATTACAGAAAAAGAAACGGTACCAACTTAGTCTAACTTCAAACTACTGCAGGACCTAGTAACCATGGATGCCAACCACTTAGTCAGTTCAACGGGGATGCCCCCAATTCCCCGCTCCGAGGCCGATTCGCCAAGCTCGCTGAGCGATGGAACGGGCGCCTGCAACGAATGAAGGCAGGGACGGGCAACCCCCCCCAAATCTGTGGCAGCACGGTATGTCCTATTTGCCTTATGGCTTTGGACACCACCAAGGATTGGCAACACCTGGTTCCCTTCTATGTCTCTTTACCCTTGACTGAATTGAGAATGCTATAAAGATGTCCATTCCAGGCTCAGGGTTCAATGTACAAGGGGTTTGTGAACAGGTGCTATCACCGGGAATTTTATTTATGGCAGCCCATGTTTCTTTTGGAAAGTGGGGGCCGATGCTAAGAGCTAACAAGACGGCAGCTGAAAGGTTTTGGTTGGCTTTCCAAGGGGCACATGTTTTTTCACACTTACCAGCTGATTTAGACCAGGATCCTCCCAATGGTTTGTGAAGTGCCCTCCTTTCGGCAATTTGGGGGCCAACAGTCAATGGGGGATTGGATATCCCGATGGTTTGAACGAATGGCCGCTTTTGAAGGCTGTCCGACGTCCGACTGCTCCGGGGTTTCCAAAACGGAAACCCTTGCGCGCCATTTTTGGAAAGCCAATTTGAGCGACACCGGGGCAACATGTTTATGCTTTCCAAAATCTGAGGGTTTCTCAAAGCGTGTGGACAAATCTAGCGGACCCAACAGTGGGTAGGGGATGGACCAGGTTTATGGTGTTCAACCTGTGGTTTCACAACACCCGCCCTGTTTATGATTCTAGTTTCACACTGTTTTACATGTTCTTCTCAAAACCAAATGCCCTTTTCCATCTGATGTTTCCAGCTTTATGGTTTCTCAAGGCGGATGGTTTTGAGACACACGAAAAGACCGGTGAACACACCAAATCCGATCCGTAGGACTCGGTGGTGAACCTCTTCTACGAGGGCGCGGGCAGCGGCCAGGCCCGGAACATCGCACCCAGATCTAGCGGGTTTTACTGTACCAACTTGTATCCAGCGGGTTTTCAGTCAACTTTTTGTGGAAGAGGCAAGGACAAGTTGACGTATGTGCAGTTCTTTGGCGTTTTGGCTTGGGGCTTAAACCCAGGGTCAAACAGATGCGTTGGTGTGTCTGCTTTTGAGGGTTCTCTTGGAGCTGATTGAAAGGGAGGCCAAAGGGGATTTTTCGCCATTGTTTTGGGGGTGGGTTTCCACATTTGCGGATCCAAATTTCACATATCAGAGTATCGAAAATGGAGAATCGCAAAAAGCAACAGGAGGTGTCTTGTGAGAATTGCCCTTTCTTCTGCCTGCTTGGGATGTGACAAAACACAGTGCTTCAAGGGCTGCCTTAGAAGGGATCCAAAAGGGAGCTCATGATTTTGATGATCAGATGAATATTGCAAGTAGGGAGCACACAGAACCCAGTAGTTTATCACACATGCTAGTAGCTAGCTCACTCGTTTGACATTGATCTCTTTCAATTGCTGACTGGTTCACCCAGGGGTAGCGGTGGGTTGAACCATCAGCAAGTGGTTCCAATCGAATTCTCACGAGCTGCCTCAGCGAGCCGAGAAAGGATTGCCCCACACCCTTTCGACATCCGTGGGCAACAGGGCTTATTTGCCTTTTGGGGTGGGGTTCTCATTGTCAGGCGTTGTGAGATGCCCTTGAAAAATAATGTTGGCACCCCCTAAAAGGTGAGAATGGATTCCGGATATGCTAAACTTCCCCCAACTATGAGGGACCCTACATCCCCCAAAAGAAGACACCCGAGCCTTGAAGGCCTTGTTTAGGCTTATTTGGCGCTCTATCTTTTGGCGGGGAGTTGTAGGTGAACATGGTCGGGAAAAAGGAGAGCCACCCTGGCTTGAGCTCTAGTACTGTTTGCTCCCGAAACGGTGCCAGAACCGGCCATCCAGGGCTTCCTCAAAGCCGATTCGGGTAATGAAGTTCAGACGTCCATCCCAAAAAATACGCCGGGGGCTTCTGGGGACAAGCAACTGAAGCGGGGATTGGTTGGAGCCAAGTCGAGATGGGAGAGTTCCAACCCAGCCCGTAGACTTGGAAGCCTTGGCCGCTGTGCGCTGGGTTACTGCTTTCTTGACGCTGGAGTCATCTATTGGATCACTTTGTTGTTCTTGCTTGTTCTTCCCCGAGTCATCCGAGCCACAGGGCAAGCCCATTGCTGCCCTGCAAAGAAAACATGTAAGCCAAGGGTCCAAGAGATTCCTCCAAAACTGATGGCTCAGTTTTGGGCACTCTATTCGTTCATGGGGAGTCAGGTTTTGTTGTATTTTTGTTTCCGCTCCTAAGCCTTTCCACGCAGGTTCGCTCCATTGCCACGCTGCGGGACGTGAAAGTGGACGTGGGTAGCTCAGCATGGCAGGGCATGGCGGCCATTGACCAATGACTCAGGGGAGTTGCCCCTTTTAGCCCCTTTTTGGACCGTGCTGAAGGTGCTGCCTTTGAAGATACCTTTGAAGGGGACAAACTACTTTTGGGTTGAGACATGGAAAGGTTTGGACATCTAGTCTATGGATTTAAATTGACAAGCTTATTGGTTCATTTAGTGTTGCAAACTAACCTCTAAACCTTTGGACTAGTGGAGCAATACTTTTTGCAGGGGGTTAGTCCGACCCCATCAGATTCTGGGCGTCCTGTTTTGTCAGTTTGGTTGAGAACTGACTTTCCTGGTGTTAGCTTGGTTCTACTCATTTGCCAGTGCCATCTTCTTCTTCTTCTTAAAAAAAATAAAATAAAAATACTATGTTGACCTTGTTGAATTCAGGGTGAGCTCTGTCAAGCCCGCTCGCGGCAATCACCGATCTTGCATGTGCTTTCCGTGAGGACCCGGCTTAGACGCATTTGTACAGGGAGTTTTCAGTTAGCCTCTGTGGTTGTTGGAATGATGTTTGTGTTGTTGTGCATGGGTGCGGATTGCAGCGAACGCGACTGCCAACCTGCAGCACTTGGGCTTTCAGCTCCTGCCCGGTCACCTCGATGCTTCATCTCGATGCATGAGAGGCGTCACTGACAGACTGGCGGGGGGGGGGGGCAACCAGGTTGAGGCCCGATTTGGACAAGCTGAGGCTGATCCCGGAAGTTTTTCACTTTGCAGTTTGGAGGCCGAAGCCAGTCTCGCAGTATTCTTTGTGAATTTGGGATGAGGCAACATTGGTTTGAAGCAGAGACTACCCTTAAAAAGGGGGCCAAAAGGGAGCCAAAAGGAACCCACAAGGTACTGATTTCAACATGTTTGTCCCGGAGCTGGTCTGTCTGTTTTGTGCTACTTGCTTCTGAGATATTCTGATATTCTTCCTTTCATGGGGACTTGTCAGGAAGAGCAATGTGTCGGAGCTGGGATCCCCGGTGTTTTGCTTTGACACGCCACCGCAGGCTGGGCCGAGAGTTCCATCGGCGAGGTGGCCGTGGTCAAAGAGAATGAGAAAGGCCGTGGCGTTTCTGTTGACCTGGAAATGGCGAGTTGCAACGGGAGGGCAGGCGGAGCAAGGGCGGGAAGGCAGGACGTGGGGACCCAGCCATATTATGTTTCAATGTGTAGTTACTAGCCAGCTAGAGAAAGCCGATTCTTGTTTTTTTTGGGCTTTCTGTTGGCCTCCAGACACCTTTCAGGTTTTTTTGTTTCCCCACCAACAAGTTTTAGGGTTTATGTTGGTCTCCAGACACCGCTTAGGGTCTGCTCTTCCCCGTTCCCGCTTGTTTGCTTCTCACAAAAGGAGGCAGAGGGAAAGAGAGCTCCAGCTCGCGGCAGTCAGGTCCAGAAACCAACACTCCAAGCTTTTCAGAGGTCCCGGTTCGCCTGGGAAACCGCACTCTTACACCACAAAGGACCCGGCGGGGCGTCTACCTCAACATGTGAGCGGTGAATCATGAGAGAATTTTCCACGAAGCCACCCATGAAGATTGGCCTGGCTTGCCCTTTTACCCACTGACTCATGTTCCCTAGCGCACTTTCCGGGAGTCTAAGTCTGGTCAAATGGAGACGTGGAGATAGACCGACTCCAAGGTGGGGACCCTGTGGAGTTTCCGCTGTTGGCACACCGCGAGGCCGTTTTGGCTTCATCAAGGCGGAGCGTTTCAGCAAGGAGCCACGGGATCGGCTCAAAGATGCCATGGGCGTCCATCTGTACAGAAACAGTCAAGAACCCATCGATGAACTGAGGACAACTGGGCCAAGGTTCGCCGAAAAGGGTGTTCAGATCCCAGCCGCGGAGCTTGTTAGGTATCTTTGTAGATTGAAAGGCATCAACGTTTTACCCTTCGCCACTTGTGAGCCTTTGGTGGTTCTCATGGTTAAGACAAAATTGTATCATGGCTGATTAATCCATGAACTAGATTGAACTAGGGGGTTCATATCAGGGTCTCATATATCATACGGGTGCATACATTCAGCCATTGACTCGTGTGTGTTTGTGTGTGTATGTGTCAAACTTTGCTAGGTAGTCAGCTCGGCAGGTCAGGAAACACAGGTGAGGTTGTTTCTTTTTTATTCTTGGCGCCGCTGTGTTTGGGGCCGCCTTTTTTTTCGGCTGTCGGGTGTAAGATGTCAGTGGGTTGGTGGTTATTCGTTATCTCAAGCATCGTTAGCGCAATGGGTAACGAAGGCAAGTTAGCCTCTTGGTATACCTTCTGCTTTTTAGCGAGCTCCAATTCGGGGGTATAAGGAGCTTCCCATGAGAAGGGTCCTTCACTTGGGGATCCCTTACTGCAGCTGCTGGATTTCAAGCTCCTGGCGTCATGAAACGCCTCAAATGATTGCATGGCTTAACGCCCTAGGACCTATACTTCAAGTTGGAGCAGGTGACCTGCCCCGTGGCAAGCAGTTTGCACCCATGCTTCCCCTGTCTTGATGGGTTTCCCTTCAAGTTCACCGGGGGTTGAGCTCGATTTCCCCTTTTTGTCCGGAGGTTTTGAACATGACCTTGTAGTATTTGTTTGGTTGGACATATGGACAAACCCCTGATTCAATGAAGCCAAAACTCTTGGAAGACTGCTTGGAAGCTTGGAGGACACAGACCCAACAAAAAATGGGTCCCTGAAAGAGACAATTTGGTGGGGCTAACAAATTACTATGGAGGTTGGTTCCCTTCAAACCATCATGTAGAGGGTACCTTGAGGTTGTCACTTTGAGGACGTCCCCAGCAAGATAATGGTCAACCCTCAAAGTGGTTCAACCCTTTTTCTACCGGGGACCCGAATGACTTATTAACTCTTTTCGAAACCTGCAACTGGGGTGGCCAACCATTTAGCCGAGCGCCCCGGAGATGTCCATGCGTGTCTAGCCCAGATACACCTTGCTCAAAAACTTAGAGACAATGGGTATTAAAAGGTGAAAAGGTCGTTCTCTTTTAGGACCTTGACAAAAAATGGGTTCAAAAAGGGATACCTAGCAATGGAAAGTGACAAACATGCTCAAGCGAGAACTGTCGTCTACGCTTGGATCCTCAGCTTCCATGATCGGAAAGGGTAAGAGGTTGGGCTGGCCCAGGTAGATGTGACTCGTCTTTTTGGAGGGGACCGGGACCTCTTTGGTAGGATCACAGGGGGGCTTCCCCTGTTTTGCTCTTGCCCCTTTGTTAAGAATGCTCTAGGGGTACCTTACAGTTCCATTCTTTCCAGGCATCCTTCTTTCTAGAAACACTCAAGAAACCCAGTGACAACGACCGGATTTTGAAAAGAACGATGGTTCAAAAACAATGGACAAGGAATCAAGCCATGGATTTGTTTGTGAATGCATATCAAATAAACCACCATGGGCCACAGCTGTTGGTGGGAAAAAGAAACCAATGGACACAAAGCATCGACCTCTAGCAATGTGGTTGTTGTCCATGCGCCCAGACTCCGAAGCTTCGGGGCCCTTGAGGCCACGGCGGCCTTGAGCTGCGCCGCGGGGACCAGGTGAGGTTCTGGTGCCGCGAGTGGGGAGATGTGAGCCATGTGAGCCATGCGCCTCGGACCGGGAGGCGGGCGTTTTTTGAAGACGGGTATGGAAAACCGCGGCCGGAGGTATGCCAAACTTCTCCCCCAACCCCAACCTGGGTCTTTGGGGTTGTTGGGCTTCTGAAGCGGTGGCGGATGGTTGCAAGTTTGTTAGTTCGGCTTCGAAGCCACGCGAGCTCCTTTCTTTTTTTGGGAATGATTCTTTCGACTTGAACTGGAGAGTGAAAACACGACTCAGGGAGCTGACCTTTGGGAAAGCACTGTGTTCACAGTCAAAGATGAATCACTTGTTTCAGTTGGCAATGGAGTCCTTGAGACCAATTTGGGGAGCCATACCCATTCTAACAGGAGGTTGGCGAAGGACCAAGCGACCCTTTGCAGTGAACCCCCGTTGTCACAGAGGGGATTGACATGTATCAATTCCTTGCGTATGCTGCGGGGTTTGTGTTACCGCCCCCTGAAAATTTGCAGGATTCCCCCAACAGATAGGACATTCCTCTATCCTGATGGGTTGTGGGGTTCCATGTTGAATTGCAAGAGAGTCGTTGGGGGACATGGACTTGGCCAAAGCTTCATCCAGCGTTGTACCTGGTCTGGAACCTCATGCCATTTGTTTAAGAATTGGGCTTAAAGACATGTTGCTGAACACATGACTAATCGCTGTTGCTGCCCGGAAGCGGGAGCGAGCCGCTGGCGTCCAGCGAACATGGCAGCTGCTTCCCGGTCAAGGGGGGGGGCAGTTGTCACAGTGACCTCGACGCCTATCCCAGGTGGAGCTAACGAAGTTGGCAGGTGGAAAAAGGAGGAGGCTTGATGCACTGCAGCAAATGGAAGTGTGGAGGCGCAAATGGGGGCATGTTGTGCTATTTGGACAAAGCCAAGCACATGGCCACGGCAAGGCTGCAGAGCACAGGTGTGAGTGACATTCCTACAAAAGTGACGTCCATGCAAAGCTGCCGGATTCGCTCAGCCTTCACTTTGCGTCCACACACAGCCCAACTTAGAACCACGCACTCTCTTCCGGGGTTCCCTTTGTGTCCCCATGTGGCCACGAGTGATTTCTTCAGTGCTGTGGCCCAGTCCCACGTTTTTGACAAGCCGCGCCACGCGACCAGTCAAGAACACCGATAAATGCAGTTTCCGCTTTTTTGGCTGCTGGGTCCGCGGCGCGCGCGCCCAGGGCCAAAGTAGCCCTCACAACGTCCCTGGAAACAGCTGGGCAGTTCTTCGACTCCCCAGTTTCTGGACTTTATATTTTGCCAAGACCACTTTTCGCGGTATATAAACAACAAGTTCGGACTTATTTGGTTACCATCCACTTCAGTGGCGGATTCACAGCGAAAATGGTTTCCTGCAAGGGGATTCACACAGCAAACCAAAGATCAACCGGAAGAAGCAAGCCAATGGAACCAAACTCAAAGGCAAGGCGAAGCACGGCAGGGGAAAGCTACAAGGAGGCCATGAGGAGGAGAGCGAAGCCGTACTTGAGGCCGGGCTTCGAGGGTTCGAGGGTTCCGTGTGCTTATCCACCCCCAAAAGAAAAGTGCACTGAGCCACAATGTAGACACAACAAACCTCAAGGCTATACGCTCCATTTTCCCACGGGCGTAGTGAAAACCCGGGGCTCCAAGGATGGGAGGTGCAGACTTTGACAAATGCTGCTTTGGTGAATCATAGCTTGCAGGCAAGTTGCAGTTTTGGAATTTGCCCACGGAAAAAGGAGGACGACCTTGTTAACATTGAAGTCAACAAGGGCCAACCACAACAAAGTGTTTTCGTCTCCCATGAATTCCACCAACCGAAAGCGCATGGCCGCGTTTTCCGCAGGCCGAAGCAAAACGGGGCCTCCCCCCTTCTGCATGAAAATCCGCCACTTCGACCAGGCTGGCTCCTGCTTGGCGGCGTGGAGGGCAGTCTCGGACGCTCGACTGAAGTTGTCCCTTCCATTTGACAGGTCACCAGCGCTCGGCACCAGCGGCTCTCCGGCAAGGAGAAGCTTCGACCATCTCAAGGACCATTGTCAAGGCTTGGGCCAAAGGGCCTCGCCCCCACCCGCCTTGGGCCGGCATTCTTGGGGCCGTCGTCTTTGAATGGAATTTGTCCCCCCCACCCACTTCCAGAAGCGTGTTGCGTCACCTGTCCCAGTTTGCACCGACTTGTTCTTAGGCCCCCGCGCCTAAGAACCAGTGACACCGTGCTGGCAAATGAGGCGGCCTCTGGAAGCGCAGGGGCCAGTGTGCCACACCAACTTTGGCATTCCAGCATGCTTCTGTGTACCTACCGCTCGGTGCCTACCCCCCATTTTGCTGCCTATATGGCTATATTAGGTTCTGTGGCCTGGCGTCGGGTTACAAAACGGATCTGTTCGGCAAGCTTGCGGGCTCTGCGAGGCATGTTCGTTCAGCTAGAAGGGGCAGCTACAGGTGCGAGGACACACCAATCATGCAGGGCTGCAAGCAGTCGTACTCGTTCTTGTCGCGTCTGCTCGGATAGTGGATTTCACCGCACACTAGCAGGTCAGCTTCATCTTCATACCAGCCCATGGGCAGCCGTTGGGTGATCTTCGGCGAGCACTTGGGTGGAATGTAGCCTGACGCCACCAAGCATAGGCAGCCGGCCTGCTTTGGGGTGATCAGGCGGTGACAGATCGGAGCCGTCCAAAGCGAAAGTTCTGCCTACTTCGCATCGCTATGCCGTGGCGGTGGACCCAGGTCAACAACTAGCAGGGTGCCAAGGTCAGCTCTGGATGGTTCACGTGTGCCGTGCGAATTGAGTTGCGGATGACGCAGGTGTTTTTTTTGTCGGGCCAGAGCAGGAGGCGCATTCTCTCTCCGAAACCACCAAGAATTTGCAACATCTGCCAACGCCTGCCAAGCAACTTTTCGAGTTCGGTTTTGCTGGACTTTTCTTGATTCTTTGATGTCCAGGGCAAAACCCAACAAAAGCGCTTTTCCCCATGTGTATTAGGGAGGTGTGGTAGGGTCGTTGCCAAAGCTTCAATGCATATTCGGCCCCCCACATTCCCTCGCTTTGGAAGCGACCCAGCAGCTCGTGGGCGGCCCAGTAGCCTTCGCCTAAGGCTACTGACGCTCGCTAAAGCTCGCTTGCAAGCAGCTTTAACGCCTCCAACCGTTGGTCGTGTTTCTCAGCGCGCTGGTTTTGCGGTTTTTCCGGGGATACACACACAGCTCACTTGTCTCCTGCGTCTTGGGGCCCCCCAAAACGGCGGCGGGACCCCCTTGCCCCAAAGAAGTTTCAGACAAAGAGGGGATTCTCGCAAGCACTTGGCGCCGTGCGCCTTTGGGAGGGGAGCGCGTCGAGTGTTTTTTTTGTCGCCGAAGAATTCGGCGGACTTTTGTGAACAGGGTCGGAACGAGTGCCCAGGCAGCTCGCTGGGATTCCCGGGATTATTCTTCTCTGGATACATACGAAACACAGTTCGTACCGTATTGTAGAAAAGTAATATGAGGATATATTGGATGCCTTCTAACATCCAGAGGCAATCATCAGAATATGATTGAGCAATAAGTTAGACGCATGCTAGTACCATGCCAGCAACAAGCTTCAAAACTGGAAAGATAACTCGACAAGCCGGAAAAAGACAAGCGCGACTTTGCTACCTTGGCTCAGGTCACCCCGCACATGATTTCTGAATATTGTGCGAGCATTTGTGGTTGTGCTCGTTGAAGTGTTCGAGTATGAAGGTCTTTGTTGGTTTGCTTTTGAGGAATTCGTGGGAAGCAAATCAACACGAAGAGTTAGACATCAAACTGAACCAACACACCGAGGGAACCCACATGTATATCAATACATGTAAATACGTAGATTCACCCCTCCTGCTGTTCCTCTTGATTGTACTATATACTGCTGCTGCCTTTATTTTTGTAAGTAATATGGCATGCTTTTGAAATCGGGAACCGACTTGGGATAGTTTTGATGGAGGAGAAAAGAACATGAACCAAATGGCAGCCGCTTTTCGAGATGCGCCCTGGTGGCCAAGAGACGGTCGCCGGAGTTGCCGGCCCAGGCCCTTCTGGCAGAAGCCTTGTCCGAGCAGTGGTCGGCCTTGGCTCCTGCTGATGAGATGGAGGCTTGGGGTTCTAGAGTTTTATAGAAGCGTTTCTCCTTCTTGTCGTCCCGTTGGTCGCACCTTTTGATTTTCTGATTGAAGATGAGTGGTCTCCCATTCAAACAAAAACAAGTTGCATTTGTTTGAACGAAGGGGACAATGTGTCCAAAATTGGGGAGGGGGGTCTTTTTTGAGCTGTGATTTAACTTTATGAGGGACCCAGATTTACCAGGCTGGCGATGTCGTCCTGCCCTTTTACCCTTTCGGCTCCATGCTCAGCCGTTGCTTTGGTCCTGGAGGAAAGGTGGCTCGCAACACAAACGTTAAGTGCCCTCCCCCCGGAGTTAACCCCGAGCTTGCCTTAACCGTGACCGGGCTTACTACCAGAATTACCTACAATTATGTGGCTTCCCAGCTGTTTGCGCCTGCCAGACCGACGAAGCGACCGCCCGCGTTTCCGGGCAGAGCAGCAAGCGTGGGCCGGAGCATAAGATCCTCGCACCGCATTTTTTGGTGCATGTTTCTTTTTGTCACCTGTTGGAGAGGAACCCATCCGACAGATCTTTGTTCACCTCTTGGATGCCTTCTTGGATGGGAGGGGATGAATACATTTGCCCGGAGGGAGGGCAGTTGGCCGAGGATCCTGGAGCAGGTCACACACGAGGGGGCGGACCTGCGAGAGAGCATGCCCTTCAAGGAGAAAACGATGCCCGTGGATGAGGCTCGCACCCCAGTGACCCCAGTGCCTGTTCGTCCTCATTTTTGTGGGTTGGTTCCCTTTCAAGCAGCCTTCTTTTGGCCATGACCACTGGGATTTGGGACAGGAGTTGGTTTCAAGTTGCTTACTGCAAGCAACCAGTTCCCATGGCGTATACAAAGCAAAGGCTACGAGCATGAGAATGTGAAATCATGTTTGTTAAGATATGTTTGTCTGGAACATGGCCCAGTGCCCTCAATGGTTGCTTTTGCTCTGAATAGTTAGAGTAAACCAATCCTAAACTGGCAAAATATCCCGCCAGGTCCAACCCCAGTTGTATTAAGAGCCCCCCCCTGAAGCCAGTTCTTACTCAAGCTGAACGTTAGTCTTACTTAAATCCTTTACTCAGAAAGAGTTGTTTTGAGCGAAATTGGTGCCCGTAAAGGGGGGGCATCTTCTTTAAACTGCATTCTGAAAGGTTCTTTCCCGTTTTGGGACGACCGCCCTACATTTTGAAAGCACCCATATTTTTGACGCCCCACCCTTAGAAAATTAGCACACTGTGTGTCCCGTTTCTTTCTTCTAATATTGGGGCGGGGTTGCCCCGTTTATCATTAGGGGGTACGGATGATTGTTTGCAAAATTGCAGTGAGGATCCTTTGAGTGGGGTGATGTGCGCGGGGGAATATAGCGAGCCCTAGTTCCTAAGTGCAAAAGCAAGGGGGTAAGCGCAGCTGGCAGCCCCTGTGGTTGGGCAGCTGTGTTTGTATGTGTGTACGTTTGTAATTGTGTTTTATCTCGTATGCCTCTATCTTGGCACGTCTCTTTTTTGTGTGTGCGTCTTTGCTCGCCGATTTGCTCGTTTTGTTGGTTTGACGCAAAGCGCGCGTATGTTTCTCCCGGTCGCAAGAGAAACCGATGATGCCGTGGCCGGGCTTTTTTTTTCTTCTTTCTTTCTCTTTTCTTTCTTTTTTTTTCCGGCGGCTGAGGTGTTCTTCACCCACGGCCAGGTGAGCCCGCAGTTCCGGAACGGGGGGTCCCTCACGCAGCTCCTGGGCGACCTGCGCCGGGGCCGCCTCTTGCCGCAGACGGACCCGCGCCTGCGCCTGGACGTGGTGAAGCTCGCCAAGGCCGGCGCAGTGGATCTGGAAGGTTAAAACCTCGGCCCCCCTTTTGGTGGACGACGCCCGGCACAAAACGCTCCTGTGTTTTGGGTGTGCGTTTTTTGAACCCGATGGAACACGCGATGGAGAAAACACGTATCTTTTGGCGGGTTTTATGAACCTGATGGAACCCCCGGCTCGGGTCTGGAAAGCGCCAGGAAACGGAAACTGCTCTTGTTAAACTTCAATTCTTTGTGCCAGGACTAAGGGGACTGGCCTTGAAGCGAGGTACCCGTTCTGCTGTCAAACCTGGATTTGTGAAACGCAGTTTGATACGGAGTTTGTCCTTCAAGCTGCTTTGCGGGTTTGTAAGACTAGGAAGGCAATCAGTCTGAATAGAAGTATCGGCAATAGTTTGTATAATTTGAATTGTCTTTTTTGGGGGGGGGAAGGGGGACGGTCTGTATTAATTCGTTAATTAAGGGTGATTCATTCAGGGGTGACATTACAGGTGTTCTTCAGGGTGAGCTTTTCGACCCAAAGGTGGTTAAAGCATTTGGAGCTGCTCCGAACCACTCGAACGGGCTACTAAGTACACCTGAGTGACAATCAGAACCCGGGTAAATGAAGGTTAGTAAGGGGCAATCCCAGCCATAAGTGGTTGCCGGCTTTTCAATTCCCTACATGGTTCTGGTTCTGAACATTTTGTACCAGGTGTTGATTATGCCTGGTCTTTTGATGGTTGTCACCAGGTGTTTCGAGGTTCGGAGCGATCCGGTCTGCCCTTGGGGCCGGGAAGTTTCCTGCCGAAAATGAGAAGCCCCATGCTGAAGATCACATTTTACTCGTACCAGCTGACTTTGAGGATGAGAAACAACTGATTCTGGGATGTTTTTTGGGGGAAACATTGGGAAACCCCTGTTCAATTGCAACCTTTGGATCTACCAGGGAACAAATAGCCCCTCCTGAATGTTGTTCAAGTGCCGGAAACTTGCCCACACCCGCTACACCTGTATAAACTGGGCAGGGGTTTCGTCAGAGGGAACGTGAGCGACACAAACATGTGGGCGAAGGCAGAGTCCAACATTTGAGCAGAATATGTTTGCCAATTATTCACTTGGTATTCGCGGGAACTCCTTTTATGTTGCGGAGGCACCGCGCAGGCAATTCTAGTGGGGGAAGCGATTCGAGACAGTCTGAGTCTTTATAGGTTGTCCAAGAAAAGCCTGCGGAGGCAGGTTCGCGTAGGCATGTTTCACCTTACACGAGCTTTTTTGTTCTGTCTTGAAAGTAGCGCCCCAGAAAAGTCTGTGCAGGCACTCCGCGGAGGCTCCAGCATGGCCGTCCGTGTATGAGGCCGATACACCTAAAAAAGAACCTGCTGTATTTTTTGTTGCAGAACCAAGTCGCAAAGGAAACGTAGTTCAATCATATTCGTGAGGAGGAATGCATGAGCAGCTGGTTCATTTGCCCAGCCTACTGATGATCATTTGCCGCATTGTCCAGCTGAAGCATCACCTTTTAGACCAATGTGAAATGAGTGTCTGTTGTTTGACGCACAGGGGTCTGCAGATATGTCCCTGTTGGGTCACGAGCATGGCACCCTTTGATTGACATTTTGATATGAGTTCCATTGGTTCAAGGGTGCAAATATCACGTTGCACATCAATGTGGAAGCCTGCAAGACATCTTGCTTCGAGGAATCTCCTATTAGGGAACCTCCTTTTTGCCGCCCATGTTGGCTGCGCTCACGAGAGGGCGATCGTCCCATGGAAGTGTGTGGAGCAAGAATTCCCATGTTCCAAGCAGAGTGGTTGGCCATGTTCCAAGCAGAGTGGTTGGCCATGCCATGCCCCTAGCATGGCCGGCCGGGCCAGTGGTGTGAGGTCCGCTCGGTGAACAACCGCCGCTTGTGGGTGCTGAAGGAATTCCAGCAGGAGCGGGCGTGCAGAAAGATGTTCAACCGAATAGAACTATGGTTACAAAAATGATGATATACAGAGAAGACTAGGTTTTTGCCGCAAGAAGAAGTAAGCAGGAGGAAATCAGACCGGGGTTGGTTGACCTACAAGGTTATCCTACTTAGGACATCCTTTCGTGGGCTCCTGTCATCTAAAGGAGGTACATAGGCTACCAACTTACATAGGTGTATAGATATGTCCCCCTTTGGGGGAACCGCCTTTTTTGCGAAACGGATATGAAGAGCAAGGAGCCTTTCAGTTTCAGGACCATTCAATCAAGGGGATGCAAAAGGGGGGCAACCGATGGGATAGATGCACCCATTTTAGTCCATTTCAGTGGGGATTGGGATGGTCACAAGGGTCCGGGGTTTTGACCCATGCCACATTTCGAGACTTTGACAAAGGAGCTGCGCAGACACCGCCCCAAGTCGGACACGGTGAAAGTCGCCGTCCGCCTGCATCCTTTATGCAACTCGAAATTGGACCAGACACAGTTCCGGATCCTCCCAGGGCTTGTTTTGTTGTGTTGGTTTCGAACATATTTCTCCTTCCTATGTTTCTCTTGAGGTCCGGAGAGAGAAAGAGGGTGTCATTCTGCCACAGAAATGCTCGTCACAATTCACAAGGGTTGAGCCTTTTTACTGTACAGCAGATTCATCAGAAAACACAAAGAAACAATGAACAACCAACGATGTCTAGGGGAATCTGTTTGTTTTCAGAGAAGGACCTGATCATGAGGCAAAGGCACGGCCAAGTTCCTGTCCGAGCTATGCAATGCAGCGGCGTGCAGCGAGAAAGAGCAGCCTGATATCCACCCTGAGGACCGGCTGGTTCGTCCAAGGCTAGCTTGCAGAACATGTATGTTTCCCCCCCACCTAACGAGGGACTGGATTTTGGGAGGTACGAAACCTAGCCTCAGCTTCCCAAAACGGGGATGGCCACTGAGGACAACACCCGCCGCACCCTATTGAATATCAGCTCAGCTGCCCTGGAAGATGGGGTTGTGTGCAGATGGGTTCTTGAGTCCCGGGCAGAGGAGCGCAGCAAGGACCCGGTCTTGGAAAACACGCAAGTCTGGCAGCGGCTTTGGGATTTTCGGGCGAATCCCTCCAAACATGTTAAAACAACAGTTTGTCAAACAGCCAACTTTGGATTTCTTGTTGACAGGAGGGCAGGCTTTGATTGTCTAGGCTGAGTCGCCCCACGCCGATGTCCGTTGCCAAAACTAGAAAAAATAGCTGTCGGTTCTCTCCAAAATCGAACGCAAAAGGGCTTCCGGTTTTAACACCCATCATTTTACCTTTTCAAGGAGAATTCAGCCAACCCTGTAGGTTCCTGTCAACGACCTGACCTACCTGGGCGCGCCGAATTCTGTGGGCGTGAAGCGCCGACGCTGCGGGGGGGTGGCAGGTTCCGCAGTTCCGCCCCTCACCAGACAACAGCGTGAGGCTTGTGAGAGGGTGGAGCAAGGGGAGCGAGTTGACGCGGTGCAGTTTGATGGCAAGCTTTTCGTGGTGGACCGTGATCTCGGGCAAGCGCTGTATGCGCGGCAGCAGCAGGGCCGTCAGATTTGCGCAGAGGTCCGTGTAATTCCTCTTTGCCCCATGACCGCCAAATTCGTCATGGCCAACAGCAGCAGCAACAACGGCAAGAGCGTGGACATCAGAGGTGGCTGGATTTAGAAAGCAGTTGAATCCGTTTGGAGTGGCTTTAAGCGAGCACCATGAAACCAAGCTTTTAGAGGGGACTTTTGATGCGTGCGCCTGGGCAGGGGTTCCAAAACCTTGTAGGTACTCTGCAAGCCAACGCAGAATGGCCACTTGACCGTATCGTGATGGTGGCCTAGTTGTCCAGCACCCTTTTCTCCTTTCTTTGCGTTTGAAGATTTGCGCCTGACTCACAAAGAGATTCTTCTTGCATTTGGCTTTGGGAGCTATGGCCCGACGAACTGCAAAGCGCCTCTTGAGTTGTGCGCCCAAAGTGGGGTCCACGCTTCCCAGCTGTTCAGTGGAAGGACCCTACTTGGGCTTGGTGGGGATGGGCATGAACCTTTTAGGGAGTTTAGACACAAGGATTCCTTAGATGGAAGTATGACCATGTCCCACAAAAGGAGTTTATACCATGGCACATGTCATGTGGTAAACCTTTACACCAGATCCCAGCATGTTACCCTCCAGGTTTGGTAAGGGAAGTCAACAGGAACATCATTCTGGAGATCCAAGTTCCTGTTTGGGCACTTGTTTGTTTTACCCCCAACCTTTGTTTGAGGCCCATCAAACAAACGGTAAACTCGAGGTCAACCAAGAAAAAACATGGAGGACAGCGAAAAAACATGGTCCCCTCCCGATGTTGACACATATCCTGCCTTCGAACCTACTTGGAGGTGGTTTTGAGCTTGGCTCTGCGGCTGTCCAACTGCCCTCGCGCCCCGGACATCTATGGCGTGCTGGCATCTTCGCGCCTTTTGGGGGCGCCTTAGTTGAGTCGGACATCACCAGACTTGCCTTGCAGAAGAACCAAGCAGGGATGTTGGGCAAGGGGGTGGGTGGTTCCAGTGCCATGTTGGACTTGGATTCGCTCTTCAGCCCTGCTTCCCCTGCATCCCTGCTATCTCGGTGTGCAAGTATTGTTGGGTGGCTTATTGAACGCCACCTTTTTGGCCTATCTTTGTTGGGTGTCTTTTTGGAAGGTGATGCCGAGGGATACGTGCACGTATCCATGAATCAATGTATACTTAGAGATACATTCAGAACCTGTATCACGATTTGATCCAATACTCGAAGAGTAATCCTATTGTTTTTCATCCTATGTGCGGTTGGACATCCAGCAGATACATAGTTCCTGCGTGGGAGTATGTCCAAGCATACATCATATGTCGCAGTGTAAAACATCAATGATCTTCACCATGTCAGCTATTTCTTTTCTTGGAAGTCAGTGAGAATAGTTTCTTCAACTTTTTCCCGTGCGCAAATGGGGATGTGTGAAAATCCAGGTTTGTGTTCATTCAAACTGACCAGGCCAGATTAGAGAGGATACATGGAACCTACATAGTTCAGTGGTCGGATTTGGGGAGGCCCCGCGACTCCGAGGAGCGCTCGGCTCTGATCTCGGCTATTCGATCCAAGAGGCGCTTCGCGAAGCAAGTGCAGGAGCAGGCGTGGGACCGCGGCCCAGAGACGGCCTCTCAAAATTGCTCTGGGTCCCTGATCCTTTGATTTTCGGAACGTCACGTGGAGCGAGTGGACTCCGGATCGCGGATAGTACCGGAGTATCTCAGTTTTGGACCCTCCCACCCAGCCTCCAACTGACTCCTGCGCTTGCAAATGGCCTCGTCGCTCCGTGGGTATGTGGGATTCCATTATGGCTCCTTGGGTACTTAATTCAAGGTGGCGAAGTATAGCAAGTAGCGCAGATGTCCTCACATGCACAAACCCTTTTATTCAAGGCTTGCCGTTGCAGGGTTCCGAACCTTTTGTTTCAAAATGAGGGTCACATTGCACCACCATTTCTTTCAGTCTGACGGTTTGGATGTTTGGCTGGGTGGTGTTTGAAGGGCAAAAGTGGAAGGTTTCTCCACGCAAGGTGGAGGTCACAACTGTCCACTTAGTACCCAATGAAGCTTCAACTCGCAGGCGTCGCAACTGTCCACGAAACTTTTTGCAAAGTTCAGTACGGTGTTCAGGAACACAAGTAACAGTTGCGCGTCTTGCTTCGCGAGAAATATATCATGACAAGTTACAATTCTACAGAATTATGAGCCGCAACGTCCGAGCCCGTGGGCATGTGAGTTTCAAAGAGAAGGACTGTAGTTTTGGCAGGTTCTCGGCCTTACACATGAGAGAAGTTCATGTTAGAAACAAGCAAATTGACTGATTGGGGCTCACCGTCACTTCCACGACCACTCCAAGGAAGCCAGCTTTGCTTCGTGGGTTTTTCAACTGGGAGGCCCAGCGCTTGGTTTCCCCTTTGTTTCCCTTTACGGCGCTGCGCCCATGCAGAAGGGCAACTCGTGACAGGTGTGGCCCTTCATGCAGCAAGTGATGAGAATGCAAGCCTCCAAGTTCAACATGGCCATGCCGGTGTGCAAGTTCCTGGCGAACGACCGCCATGGAAGAGAAGGAGTCTGGGCTTGGATCGATCCGGACAAGGCAGAACCCACCCACCCCATCAGACTAGATTGTTTTGCCAAAGACAGTTCCCTCCCGAATTGGGTGGGGTTATTCTTACGCGGACAGTGCCCACACTCCCCCCAAACTAAACCAAAATATTGCGCACTCAAAGGCGTCACAAAATGGCAACTTTGAGAGGTGTTCTGCAGGATTCAGGACCCCACTACAGACAGCTTCGAACGCAACACTCATGTAAATCTATCCATTTCCCAAAATTAGGGAGGACTGTCGAAAGTCATTGGTTTCGGTTTCTTTGCTCTTCACGCATCATGCAAAGGGGGTTCCTCATTTAATTTGAGACATGATTATGGATATCATGTCAAGAGAGACCAGACACCCGTGTTGGCAGTTTTCTCCAAAACCCTTCTATCAGCTTCTATGGTTGTTGAAGAAGAGCAATTTTGACCCCTGACTCATGATACCCCGAGTTCTCATTCAGGCCAGAATCCCTGTTTGCGGATGTTTCTCCTTCCGCGCCCTGGGTGTGAGTCCTGAAACCCAACGGCTTCCGTTTGACATTGGCTTCCTCCAAGGGTTGAGGCCCCTTGATGACTCCTTAAGTACCTCCTTGGGCACTCGGTTGTTTTGGGTTCCCTTAAGCGGAGCAAGCAACCTTCAAGGGGCATGGTACGGGCTAAGTGGCTAGTGACCATGGGCAAGCAACCTGGCCAACTTCCACTGGCGGGTTGCTCACCACTGACGGGTTTACCCGTTGAAACCTTCCAGAAAGGCCGATGGATGAATTGATGGGCTGTTTTTCAGATTTCACCGTTCCTTCCCTGGTCCTTGTACTCTGTTGCTCTTTGTTCTCTTTGAACATCGTGAGGTGGCCTGCAGATTCGCCGGAGCAAAATATGTTGAAACCAACCCCCAATCCGCTTTCAACCCAAGGGAGATTGTTTGAAATGTGTCTGAACATCGCTGCTCATCCCAAATTTGCTCAAGGCAGGTCGATCTTCTCCTGCTTGAGAGTCACCCCCCCCAAAAGCGAACAAGAGTGAACCTGCACAAGGGTTTCTGGACCATTTTCCTTTCAAGGGAGCCAGGATCGTTTGTGCATGTCCATGTTTCTTGGAAGGCTATCCCGCCGAACCCGCGAAGTCGCCGAATCGAGGAGCAGTTGGCTCGGAGCTTCTGGCGCTTCTGGACCGCGCCGCACAGCAACTCGCCGACCAACCAGATCCAACAAACACTGCATGGCACTGTTTGCCGGCGACGCCAACTGCAGAGGAACCGGGGGGTCAGACACGTCTTGTTTTTTTGGAGCCTTGGTTGTTTGATTGTTTGATTGTTTTTGTGTTTCTTAGTTTGTCTACTTGTTTGTTTGCTTCTTTTTTGCTTTGCTTTGCTTTGCTTTGCTTTGCTTGCTCTGCTGTTTTGGTCCCGAGGAGCCGAGCCAGAAACAGTCCTTTTGTTAGTGACTTTTTCTCAGTGAGGGGTGGCGCGATTTGCACCAGGGGCTTTGTTTTTGGGAGAAGGGCTGGCAATGTACCAAGCTCCGTGTTGAAACGCCACCAGATTCTAGATTGAACAGACTTTTCGGACGGGGGGGGTGGGCAAATAGCGCCCGGAGGAGATCACACGCCTGCAGATCTTGCCAGATGGGAAACAGCGATTTCGAGCACTAGACTTACCAGTGGTGCGACAGGTTGGAAGCTACAGATCAACCAGCGACTATTTGGACACCTACTTTAGGCTTTTGCGGGAGGACCAGTCCGACACGAGATGCCAGGGTTCTGGCTCTCCTGTTCCTATTTTAAGCATTGGATTTATCGGAGGACCACCTACTCCAATGTCTAATTGCCCACAAGGAAGCCAACCGGATTTGTTGTCATAGTTTCCAGCCCCCTTGACACCTGGATCTTGCCAGATCCTCGTAGGACTGCATCTCCTCCTTGCGGAAGTCTCTTGCAGATCTCCGGGATCGTGGCGAGCAGGCGCTGTCTTTCCGTGCGCCCTGCGATGGCATGTTCAGGGGTTCTCAAAATTGGGTGTGGGTCGAAAGTAGGTACCCCAAAATGGGGTCCTGGTAAATGGACTAAAACCTGCGGTGCCTGGTGGTTGAATTGTAAACCACACCCAATTGTGTTTGGGGATAGATTCCCTTCAACTTTAAACCATCAGTTACGGGTTAGTCGCGGATATCGCTTGGCTCCCTACGCAGACAAATGGAATCATTGGGTTTATTTATGGGTTGGTACCGTTCTTCCAACCCCAAGACTGTTGCGTTGCTTCCACATTTTACTTACATTGTGGTTGGGCCCAAAGAATGGGTTGCTTCCATGTGCTTGAGAACATGTTTTATTGTCCCTTGGTTTTAAATGGAATCCATCACTACTGGAAGTATGTTTTTTCTCCAGGCGGCTTGATCCCTGGCAGGCGCAGCATGCGCAGGAGGAAGGCAACCCAGCGAATTCCATTGGCGACGGGGGTGCCCCTTCGGGGTTTGCTCCAGCGCGATGGACTAAATATGGGTGTGTGTGTGTGTGTTTTTTTAGGTGACCCATAAAACGGCTGCTTTCTGGGATGGTTTCCCTTCAAAAGAGGGTTCCCCTAAAGAAAGACACCACACACACATGTGTAGCAGAATCTGAACATATTATGTTTGGAGTGCCAGGTTTCACTGATTTTTCCGTGCGGACCCAAATGAGTGTGTCTCCAAGAATGATCCTTCAAACTAGGTGGTCCTTGGGTAACTGTGTTATAATGGGCCCCCTTTTCGGACTTCCCTTTTTCAATGCCACACTTAGCTTACTTTTGCCCTAAGAAACTATTGGCCCCTGCGTTTCTTTTCAGTTTTCAGTTTCCCTTTCAAACGGAAGTTGCAACTTTGCGGGGGGGTTCCACTGGTTTCTGGGACCTCACAAGGCAACGCTTTCCGGGCCAAGCTGAAGGGCTTCACAGCCGAGAGCCCAGAAGGCTTGGGCTTTCGACTTTCATCGGCGCATGCGGCTGACATCGAATGTTGACCCCATATGAATCAACCCCAGCTTATGAATAGGGGGGTGTCCCTGCATGAAATGTGGGGAATCATCATTTTGGAGGGGAACCCCTATTCAGAAAGCGGGGTTGATTAGTATGGGGACAGCATTATGGGCTGGGGTCTTGCCAAGAAATACCTCCGCCAAAGTCCAGATAGAGCTGTTTTGGTGTCTAGAAAGAAACCAATACGAAACCTTTGCCATTCAAAGGGATCCCCAGTTTCAGCGTACTCCCGCAGGCTGGGTTCTGAAAGCTACATGCCGGGCTTCACATTACATTTTGTGGACAATATGCTGCCATGATCTGCCATGGTTTGAAAAACTGGTTGCTTGCGATTTGGAGAGGATGGTCATCATGAACCCTTCTGCTGAAGCTTCCAAGACACATTATTCAAGGGGCCGCGCCCGGTAGCTGCGCTGGCTGTCTGGCAAAGAAAACTTCGACCTTCTTCTCAGGGATTGTGGTTCAGGTTTGGGCTCAGGGGCTTGGCGGGCCGCCCTACCCTGCCCCACCCCGGCTTGCCCAACGGGTCCGCCCAACGGGTCCGCTAGCAATGTTTGAGGTGTTCCCCGTGAAGTTTCCAAGCCATCTCGGAATTCTTGGCCAGCCTTCCTTCGGAACTTTTGAAAGTGATCCTCATAGACAAAACCACAAGCTAAGACTTCCAGGAGTCGCACGTTTTTTGTTTGGCACAGAAAGTTGAACTGAACTCTCCAATTGCTTGGTTTCCAACAACACCGTCCAGGTGTCGTGGATAGCCGGGTGAAGGTGGTTCTGAAGATCTTTCCATTGTTCAGCTCCCGTCGCTTGAGGAGTGGGAAATATTTCATGCCAGGCGGGTTGGTCCAGCGGCTTGTTTTAACATGGTTAACATGGTTAACTGGTTAAACAAAAATTAAATTGCTTACACATTCTGATTGGGGTTTTCCTTCCACGGCTATGTGGTTGCTGCACATTACGCCCATCCCTGAGGGAATTTGGTGGCGTGCGTGTGTGGCGGTGACTTCTCTGTGCCGCTTTGGCTGTTGGCAGCCAAACGCTCCCCGGATGGCAGAGAGGTGGTCTTGGACATTTACTCCGAGCACTTGGAGGACCGGGTGGGAATCTGGATGTTCTCACTGCCTGAGTTCCTCGACTGTATACTTTTTGGGGAAAATGTATTTTAGTGGGACTCAAACAGTTTAGATTTTGTTGGCCCCACTTAGGAAATTTGGGTGTTTGTTTGCCATTTAGTGTTCAACCGCACTCTTCTCTGAGAACGAGCAACCTTTAAACACATCTTTAAACAGCAAAAGTTGCAAACAAGGACTGCAGACCATGAGCAGAAAGCAAATCACACAACCGGTGTGTTCTGAGAACAGGACGAGGCCTCACTTCTGGCGCGGCTTTGGAGCGCGAGCAGCCTGACGCTGGTGGCGTCCCCCACATATTTCCGATCTTTTGAGCCTGTCCTGAAGGAGAGCCCAGACCGCCTACTAAGTTAGGGGTGTCCCTTGTCCAGTGTGTTTTCTTTTCTTCTTTTCAACTGTGTGGATGGGTTCCCCTTTTGGGGTTCACCGCCCAGAGCAGGTGCCTCTGTTTCATCGAAAGGTCGCGCGGAAAAGCGGTAAGGCAGAAAACAGGCAGGTTTGAAGAATGCCGACGCCTTTGGAAAGGTAAACGTCAAGGATGCTCGAACCAAACCATGCTTTGGTGTAACCATGTTTATATGAGAGGTTCCGTTTCCAGGGAAGAACATGCCTGCGTTTTGAGGGAAGCCTCACGGCTCTTGAAGCAGCGAGTGCAACATGTTCCAGTGCCGCCTAAGCCTTGGCAGGCTTTGAAGACGGCGGAGACAGTGGGGTTGCCTTTTCAGAAGGAGCTGGTGAGGTGCCAAGGAACGAGTGGCTCCTCTTGCCTTCACTTGGCAGATCGGCCAGTGGACCGCAGTCTCATCTTCCAGGACCAGGCCAGGGCCAAATCTTTAGCGATAAGCCATGCCACATGCGTCAGACGCTGTGGTTGTATGGGGCTTCTTCGAGTTCCACTCATGAAGTTCAACGGGCCGCAACAATGTGTCCTTGTTATTCCTTGTTTACATTGCCGACTCTGATGTGACTGGCCAGAAATGTGTTAGTTGCTGGATGTTTGGGGCCTCTGTTCGTAGAGCTGGGTGTCAACAAAAAGACCAACTTTTGGTGTGTGTGTGTGTACATGCGACACATGACCCAAGCTCATGTCAGCGAGGCCACCAAAACAGCCCCCGGTTTTGAGAACCGTTTTGATTCGGTGTCAAAATTCAAAGGACGTGCCCCAATTGGACACGTCGCTTTCGCTCCACTCGCCTTAGGCGCCGTGTGTCACCGAGTCCCATCAGCTCGTGGGGCTTTCGGACGAGGTGGGTGGCTCGTTGCCTTTTCGGGGGGGGGGGAGGCCCAGAATACCGCAGGTTTGAGTCTACTTGTCCATTTACGAGGATTCCATTTTGGGCCGATTCCTGTTTGTGAGCCAAAAAACATGTTTCAACCGATTCCTTGGTTCTTTTCAACACATCCGTCTCAAGGCAAAGGCCCACGTCAAGCCATTGCAAGCCTCGAGCCCAGGTGCTCGGGAAGTCCTGGACTTTTGGCACGGAAGCCGCACCAACCGAGATAGTCGCTGGAAGCTTCCGGCGCCTCAGCAAAGCGCGTCCAGGAGTAAAGCTGCAAGTCTTGAGGTTCGGAACATTTCAATACATATATCATATATATATATATATGTATACATATATGTATAAAATAGAATAGATACATCTGGAGGAAGAGGCTTCGGAACCCTTCAAGATTGAAGGAACGTGGCTTCCTGGGATCCACTGGGATCAGCACTTGCAACCTGTTTGTGGGGAAATCCTGCTTCTTGGGACCGCTTTGGGCCGCATCAAATCTTTCGTTTGCGCAGAGAATCGACCTTTCGACCTTTTTTGTCTTCTTAGTCTGAGGGATCCGTTTTGTAGAGCTATAATCTCTCCGCTGCGCAAGGGCATCTTCTTTCGCCCAGGGGTCCCTTCAGCATTTTCTCACATCTTCACTTGGAGCCTTGGTGTTTGCGCCTTGGGCTTGCGAGATATGCATCAAGCATCTGCGTTGTGGCCAGGTTTGCGATCTGGTCAGAGCAAGAGTTTGGGGGTGGCTTTGCCTGCCGCAACCACAGCAATGTGCAGATTCTGGTGGTTTTTCCGTCGCGAGTCTGCCCGGACACTGGGGCTGCAATATAGCAAGGAGGTCATTGCCAGCCATGAAGGACCTTTAGATTCCTTCTTTTACACTCGTGAATTATAGCAATTCGTCCTAGCAAAACAAAGCGACCTCAGGATGTTGGTTTGCAATCTGCGGTGGTTCCTTTCATATCATCCACGTGTTCAATTGGGGCACTCATTCACTCGTGCAGATTGACCGGTTTCACTGGCTCGCTCCACAGGGCCAGTGCTCAGGTTCAGTCCTAGCCCTCCCACTCGCCGCGGATGGGTTGTCCTTCCCTTTCGAGCAGATGTACTTTTTTGCGGTCTAAGTCTGGCCAAGCTTCGCAAAATAGTTGTCCAGCCTCGAGTCATGTCAGCTTCCATGTTACGTACTAGGGTGCCTTTCGGGTGAAACTGATGAACCGCCAGCTATTTGGAAGGGTAGCTTTGACTCACACACACACACACAAAGTCGTCCTCAGTCCAAGGGCTTGGACACTTGTGTTCCCTCAAAAGTGACCGGCATGCGAATCTTGTGCCACAGGTTGGCAAAAGCGGGCAGACGATCTAAGGTTAGGATTGGACTCGACCGCGCGGTCCCAGCGCAGACGGAGCTTGCGGAGGAGGAAAGCCTTGCGCACCTGTTGAAGCCTGGAGCGAGCATCGTTGACTTGCCTTTGAACACTGAGATTGTCCGAGCCCCAGCGTTAAGTCGCAAGACCGTGCACCTGTAGTAATTGATGCTTGAAATTTGAGACCACTCTGAGATATGCTTCGGTTGGCAAAATGTTGACCCGGCCTTGCTTTGAATTTATGAGTTTACGGGTATGGTTCCCGGATTCCCAAATGAGTTGCTGCGAATGCGCCCGCAACAGAGCCAGCACCTTGGTCTGAATCTATGAGTCTACGGGTACGGTTCCTCAAGAAGTTGCTTCGAATATGCCTGCAACAGAGTCAGTAAGGGTTTTGACTGGCCGGTTTGTTAAAGCATATAGTCCACAGTGAGGATGTATGCAAGCTTCACACCCCAACATGGCTTGAACCCTAGAAGTCTTCTGAAACTGAGGTTTCCTCAACCGGACAGCACGAGCTCCGCTTCCGCATCGTGGCGCTGCGTGGGCGCCTGAGAGCCATCGTCCCGCCTGAGTCCTGCCTGAGAGCTGGGTGAGTAGATGGCCGGTCAACACCAATGGTACCATTTTGGCGTACGTGCCCCACCCGTTTTAGTCTATTTTGGTGGGGATTGGGATGTTGACTGGGGGTACGGGGTTTTGACCCATAGCCAGATGAGAGCGTGGCTTTGGGGGAGTTCACGCGTACAGAATCTGGGCAAAGGAAAGCGTTCTCGATGGGGTTTGCGATATCCATGAAGGTTTGTTTTTGGGGCCTTGTTTGGGTTTTGCTCAATAACTGTTAGATGATACAGAGCGGGAACTTGAATCGGTCCTCTGTGTTCTGTATATAGGTTGTGATTACGACTGTTGTAGTGACTACCGGCCTGATATCATTTATGCCTTCTTTTTTGCACTTGCAACAGATATGGAGAGCGAGTTGGAAGGAGACTGAGTTGGACACCATGTTTGGTGCTACGACGGCAATCCACTTAGACATCATGACTTTCACAACAGGCACACTGGAGGTGCCAGCAAAAAGCATGTGTTTGGATGGATCTCCCTTTAAGAGGTGTCCCCGAAAAGGAGTTTATTCTATTCTAGTCTAGGGCTTGATTCCCCATCTTTTGCAGCCATCGTTCTTTTCAAGAACCAGCCATTTCCCCAGGGTTCTTGGTGGTTTTCCAGAAAGAAGGATCCCTGGAAAGAATGGAAATGAAAGGTACCCCTAGATCTATGGTGCCTTTGGGTTTTAAGCATAGGTTCATCCGAGTGGACTCAGGGGGCAGTGTGCAGCAGCTTCAGCGGGACCTGGGGACTGCCATCAAACAGCCCGACGGGGCCTTGGCCAAATCTACGACCTGGGATGAGAGCTCGGGACCCAGCCAGGAGTTGTCCCATTTGAGGTTGTCCGTTAAATGGGGATGTCTTTTGCACCCCAGAAATTTGAAAGCGAAAATGTAAAGGGGCATGAGAGGTCCAAATTGGGGGCCCTTTCTTTTTGAACATCCCTCAGTGGGGGTGCGAGAGAAGAGGGATGAAACGTCGTAGGGCAAGGATGTGTTCGGGCTTGTCTACCAATAGTATTTTCGTCGCGTGCCAAAGCCTGAACTTGTCTGAGAGGAACCACAACGGGATGGAAATTAAGTCGGATAAGTGTGAGGAACCCCCCAAACAACGAATCCTAACCCCTCAAAAAGAGATTGTTACTGATAAGTCCAGAGGGTTCTTTGTATTTTGAAGTACACACCGATGTTGCTATGGCCCTCGACATTGGTTTTAAGTTGCCTTAGCGCAGGAGGCTTCTGTTAGTGCGGAGGGTAAGGTCGACACCTGATAAACACCCCCACACATTATTCAGGTCTAGAGAGGGAGTCCTTCTTTGTACACAGACACCCCAGTTAGGGGTACTAATCAGGGGCCAACGTGAGATATTGCAACCCTATTGGTGTGTGTGTGTGTGTGTGTGTTTCTATCTGTGTGTGTGTGTGTGTGTCTGCGAGTGTAAGTGTAAGTGTAGTGTAAGTGCATGTGTAAGTATTTGTGTAAGTGTAGGTAAGTGTAAGTGTAAGAGTGTGCTGTGTAGGTGGGTGTGTTTGTGTGTCTGTGTGTGTGTTTTTGTGTTTGTCTCTGTGTTTGCCTCTGTGCGTGTTTGCCTCTGTGCGTGTGTGTCTCTGTGTGTGTGTGTGTCTCTCACGCACTCTCTCTCTCTCTCTCTCTGTAACCGTGTGTGTGTGTGTTTGTGTGCGTGTGTCTGTATAAGTTTCTCAGTGTGTGTGTGTGTGTGTCTCCGTGTGTGTGTATGTGACGCGCGCTCTCTCTGTGTGTTGGTGTGTTTGTTTGTGTTTGTTTGTGTTTGTTTGTGTTTGTTTGTGTTTGCTTGTGTTTGTTTGTATTTGTTTGTGTTTGTTTGTTTGTTTGTTTGTTTGTTTGTTTGTTTGTTTGTTTGTTTGTTTGTTTGTGTGTGTGTCTGTGTGTGTGTGTGTGTGTGTGTGTTTGTTTGTGTGTTTGTGTGTTTGTGTGTTTGTGTGGTTGTGTGTTTGTGTGTTTGTGTGTTTGTGTGTCTGTGTGGCTGTGTGCCTGTGTGTCTGTGTGTCTGTGTGTCTGTGTGTCTGCGTGTCTGTGTGTCTGTGTGTCTGTGTGTCTGTGTGTCTGTTGTGTGTCTGTGTGTCTGTGTGTCTGTTTGTCTGTGTGTCTGTGTGTCTTTGTGGCTGTGTGTCTGTGTGTGTCTGTGTCTGTGTCTGTGTCTGTGTGTGTGTGTGGGACCACCACCGTCATAGAAGGTACCCTTTTTTGACACATGAGCAGCGTTTCATATGTTTGTCATCTTTTAGCGTAGTCAGGGGATGACATGGGACATGCGCACCAAAATGCCATCAGATATTGAGAGTCAGTCATCACACTAGGAAGTGGGCTGGGAACATACCCACATATTGCAACCCTACTGCGGGTGGACAAACACTCCGCAAAACAGGTCAGTGGGGACTTGTGGTTTATCAAGTACTCATATGGCTGTGGGTCAAAACCAATGGTACCATTTTGTGGTAGGTGCACCACCCATTTTAGTCCAATTTTGTCGGGATTGAGATGTTCACTGGGAGTACGGGATTTGGCCATATCTTCCTCCATCCGAACAGTAAGCAACAGCTCGCAGGCCAGCTGCGCGCTGCCCAGCATGCCCTCCAGTGCCGGCTAGCGCTCATCCAAGGGCCGCCAGGCGCGCTCGCTTGGGGCAGGCATGGCCATGGACGCTTCTTCACGTGTTTGTTCTAGCAAATTTTGACAACCAGTGCAATGCAGCTTAGGGCATCATGACCATAACCCCAATATAATTTTGGCCATGGCGCATGAGCAGCGACAAAACACCCTCGCCATTTTGGGAGGTAATATACAGTTCTTGCCTCGTTGGGGTCAGTAAGGCATACGTATATAAGCCTTTGCAAATATGAGACGGGCCGCACATCATGAAGTAGGGTTATCTGAATGTACATTATCATGTTTACAGTTGTCCTTGCAATTTGCGTGGACAAGTATAGGAGCTCAGTCAATGCCCGGTGCTCTACTGCGGAAAAGCCACACAAAACACATAGTCAAGCATGTCATGTAATTTGCCTTTTTGTTGTTCCTGTCGGTTCTGCAGATCAGCCGGATTTTAGGCTTTGACGCCCCTGCGGGCTTCTTGTGGTACTATCGATGCAACTTGTTTTCATTGCCCAGGCGGTCAGTTATTTTCAGCACGGGTCCCAGCGAATGCAATGGTGCCAAAACAAGTGCACCCCTCCATTTGTATAATTGCATTCAGAGTGTTTCCGATCTAAAGTTTGCCGAAGGGGTCCTCTGTAGTTTTGACACACACACACACACATACACAGAGGGAGCCATTTGATCATTGTACCCTTGTTTCCCTCTTTGCCTGCAAGCCAGACCAAACACGAGCTTTCAATTTGACACGTCACACCCTTCCAAGCAAGTCTGTCCATACAAACGGCGGGCCAATCTAGCACCAGGGCTTATTGAAACTCTTGCAATTGATTGGGATCCTGACTCTTATTGGTTATGTAGCACGTCATCCAAATGTGCCCGGTAACTCCAGAGGCAAATGGTGTAGGTGGTTGACATGTATCAGGAGCATACTCACCACTCCGCCACTGAAAGAGATGAAGCCCCACTCCAGTTGCGTCTTTGTAGGCAACCAGGGGAAGCCATGTGAATCCTGGACCCCGGTTACCTTTTTTTGTCACTGGAAGCACTGCGCCACCTTCTGGATCGCATTGAAGCTCACTTGCCCAGGCACTGGAAAGACTTTTATCGGTTTCAAGTTGCTGCAGTTGCTGTTGCCACAGTCACGCGCACTGGTTATGACCTACAAAAACCACGCGCTGGACGACTTCTTGCAACACTGTGTGGAGGCAGGCTACACGGATCAACTGGCACGCATTGGCGGACGCAGCAACGAGGATTCTCAGGAACTGCAGGCCTGCAATTTGAGGACCGGGGACTTGAGGTTTCAGCCAGCCATCTTGCATTTCCCCCATTTGGAGTTCAGCGAGCTTGGGGTTGAAATGCGCCCGTGCCGCCCGGAGGAGCCTCAAAAGGAAGGCTTTGTCGAAGACTCAAAGCCTCGCTGGCACAATGCAACAACTGGCATCTCACTCCTCACACGCCAAGGAGCGCGGCTCACTGATCTCAGAGGGCTTGCACTATCAAACCAGCAAGAAAGGGGGGCTGGGGAATACAACCACTATGTGGCGGGACACCATGTAGTGGGGGGTGCCATGGTCCAAGCACTCTTTTACTTGGGACTGGTACAACCCCTGAATAGGAATTTTGTACAGCCATTGGAAGGGTCTCGTTTGAGAAAACCATGACCATGGCCAAGCTTTGACCCGTCACAGCTTTGCGTAAAGCAGGTGGCAGTGAATGAAGCGAAGCAGAAGATGCTGGAGGCACTTGGGGTGGTAATTGTAAACGCTTCGCGTTGCCCGCCTCGGCCCAGCCTAGTTTGAGGGAAGGGTCAGGAACACCGAAATCCAGTGTTGGGAAGGTCCGAATACCTGAAGCTGGCTCCAGACAAGTCAGACAAGCCGGCCTCGCCTGGTTGGGCTGGGCCACAGGCTAGTCTCAGACACATCAGATAAGCCTGCGCTGGGCCTGGGCAGCTTGGCTGGACCTTGCTTGCGTGGGGTTGGTTGAGCTGAAGCTAGTTTACGGCGGGCTGGGCAGCCGCACTGAGGGGGCTGGGCTATGGCTGGGCTGGGCCTGAGGCCAGTTTCAGACACGTCAGACAGGCCTGGCCAGCAGGCGGACTGGGCTGGGCTAGACGCTAGTTGAGCCCAGGCTGGTGAGGGCCCAGTCTCGGCGCTAGATAGGCTGAGGCCTGCGAGTCTCAAACCGGGTGGGCTTGGGTGGGGTTGGCTTAGGCGGGTTGCTGGTTGGGCTGGGCCTGAAGCTAGTCTCAGCCACGAGGCTGCGAAGCCATGGGTGGTGCTGGGCAGCTGGATTATGGTGTTGGTTGCGCCTGGAACTTCGGCTGGCTGGGCTGAGCTGTGCTTGGGCGGGTCGCTGGATGGGCTGAGGCTGGGTAGCGAGTTGCTGGCTAGGCTGGGCCTGAGGCCAGTCGCAGACACGTAAGACCCGCCAGCAGGGGGGCTGAGGGACTGGGCCGGAGGCAAGTCTCAGGCTGGCATACCTTGAGACCAGTCTCAGACTGCGCCGAAGGGGCCTGTTCAGCCTGGGCTGCTGAGTAGCTGGCATAGCTTGAGACCAGTCTAGACACGTGAGACTGGTCGTTGGCCTGAGGCCAGTCTCAGGGGCCGGTAGTGGCTGGCATGCCCTGAGATGCGCTGGGGCCTGGGCTGGGCAGGCTTTGGGCTGGGTTTGAAGCTAGTCTCAGCCACGAGGCTGCAAAGCCATGGGTGGTTTGCTGGCTGCCGGGCAGCCGGACCAGGCTGCTGGTTGTGCCTGGAACTTGGGCTGGGCGGGCTGGGCTGAGCTGTGCTTGGGCGGGTTGCTGGATGGGCAAGGCCTGTTTCATACACACTTGGGCCTGAGGGTGGCGAGTTGGCTGCGCTGGGCCTGAGGCCAGTCTCAGGCTGGCGTACTTTGAGACGGGGCTGGGCCTGCTGGATGACTTAGGGCCTGGGCTGGGCGCTGGGCTGGGCTTGCTGGATGACTTGGGGTAGGCCTGTTTCAGACAAGCTTGGGCCTAGCCTGGCCAGCAGGCGGGTTGCTGGTTGGGCTGGGCCTGAGCCTAGTCTCAGACACGTCAGGCAGGCCTGGCCACCAGGAGGTCCTGCTTTTCAGGACAAAAAAGCAATTTTGACAAAAATGGACCCATGGAGCTGGAAGACGACGAACCACGAAAATTTCAAGGACCGCCGGACAGGATTTTGGGTCCAGCCGACATGGGTGGGGGGGGGGGGGGGAGCGGGGTTGGGGGAGGAGCAAAGATTCTCTTTGGAGAAGAGATCTGAGCGCCCTTGGCCCCTTTGGGGCCGAGGCGAATTACTGGAAACCCTGGATGTTTAATACCCCCACCCCCGTGCTGGTCAAGAAGGTCAACAAGATCATGCTCATGTTTAGAACGGGGCATTCCTATGGTTTTCTTAGTTTGCCGCGCTTTCTGCTTGGCTGATGGTTCGACGTCTAGCCATGAGTTGATGTCAGCGTGTGCTTGCGCTGTCAGCGCTGAACATGTCGGGTTGGTGATGGTGCGCAGGGAACAGTTGAGTTTGGGGGGTTGTCTCTCTGTGTTTGCTGGGGTCTGTCTTGAAATGAGGGAGCCTCCCTATTGGCAAAGTTGTCAATAGAAAAAAAAAGAAGAAAAAACAACAACAATCCCTCGACAAACGACGCACGCGTTTGCTTTTGTTGCTTTGCCTTTCTGTTTTGCGGGTGCTTTTGCCTGTGCTTTCCCGCCCATTCTGCCCGTTCTGAGACCCGAGGCTCTTCGCAATTACCGGCAGAGAGGAGTGCACACGGCCGCCTGGACGTAGAGTCAGATCGGTTTCCCACCCAAACAAGGGTACGGTTGAGTCATACTTGAGTCATGATGTGTAGTTCCCCAAGACCTTGTGGCTTCTTAAGGCTTCCCAAAGTGAATCGCTGGTCAGCTTGATCAGGTCGACACTTTCCTTGCTGCAGCGAGCAGCCGCCAGCTCGGGGATTTGATCTCCAACTTCTGGACCCATGGTCAACGACGCCGTGAGCATCGAGAGATTGCAGAAGCCTGGGAAGAAGTTGGCCAGGAGAACTGGCCAGCATCTTGGCCAGGAGTTGGGCGGCCTGCGTGAGACGGTCAGGGCACTGGTGCTGGACTTTTCCACGAGTCAGAGCATCCATGGCCCCCTGCAAATGTCAATGGAGCCCAAGGCGGGGTTCCTCAAAGTGGTGTCATGTGTGTGTGTGTGTGGGTTCGTGTGAAGCTGCAGAGTATGTTCCTTGACACCGGCTTAAGGAGTTCAACCAGGTTGAAGCCCCCGCACCTTCAGGATTTGCCAATTTTAACATTCCTATCCAAACTGTTTACTCGGTTCCATGTTTTCGGTTGGTTGTTTGCGTGCTTTGCCATGCGCACCTAAGCATATGTTATGTAGGTACGTACACGATACATGCACATATGCATGCGTACATTGCATGATACTACATTGAATTGTTTTACATTACATTGCATAAATAAATACCTACCTTACATACATACATTGACATACATTGACATACCTACATACATACATACATACATACATACATACATACATACATACATACATACATACATACATACATACATACAGACATTCACATACATACATACAAACATAGATACACATCTACATGCCTACCTCAAAACGTTAACTCCAATTCGTATGTCTGATGCTCCTTCCTTGGTGCCCCACACAACGAGATTTGTACAAGGGCAGGAAGTAATTTTAAATCCTGGAAGCTCCAAACCATGCACAGGGACCTACCGCCGAGGATTTGGTAGAATGATTCTTCAACATATGCAGAGAGAGAGAGAGCATAAAGAGAAACAAGCAAATTCTGTATAGGTCTGGGACCAAGGCCCTTCGTGTTAGTTGCTGTTGCTTTTTTTGCCACCGATGCGTGTGTTGAAGCTTCAGGGCTGGGGTCTGTTTGCATTCGCAGAATCTGGACGCTTGCGGATCAGGCTTTCAGAAGCCATCGCCGAAACGTGGGGGAAGAAGCCACGGCAATA